GCTAGAGTTGAAACAGAACTTAGAAATCATGTAACCAGATGTGGTTTAAACTTCACTGCAACCCACTGTGAGAGATGAATGTTATGCACACTCACACAGGAGACAACATTTCTCGAAAAAAATACGTGCCTTGATGAAGTGCAAGGCATTACAATAGTTTCGTTTCTGTCCTCTGCCCTTTTCTTTAATCATCTTTATTTTTTAGAGCAATTTTAGGTTCACAGCAATATTGGATGGAAGATACAGAGATTCCTCAAATATCTCCTGCCCCCGCACATGCAAAGCCTCCCCCGCTATCCACATCCCCCACCAGAGGGGTGCATTTGTTATAACTGATAAACCTACACTGACATGTCATCACCCAAAGTCCAGAGTTTACCTTAGGGTTCACTCTTGCTGTTGCACTTTCTATGGGTTTGGACAAATGTATAATCACATAGGTCCATCATTATAGTATCATACAGAGCTATTTCCACTGCCCTAAAAATCCTCTGTGCTTCAACTGTTCATCCTCCCTCCCCCCGAACTCCTGGCAACCACTGATCTTTTTACTGTCTCTCTAGTTTTGTCTTTCCCAGAGTGTCATATTCTTGGAATCATACAGTATGTAGCCTTTTCAGATTGGCTTCTTTTACTTAGTAACTTGAGTTTCCTCTATGTGTTTTCATGGCTTGCCAGCTCGTTTATTTTTAACATTGAATACTATTCCATTGTCTGGACATACCACAGTTTATTTATCCATTCACCTACTGAAGGACACCTTGGTGGCTTCCAAGTTTTAGCAATTATAAATAAAGCTGCTATAAACATCCCTGTGGAGATTTTTGTGTGGACATAAGTTTCCAACCCATTTGGTAAATACCAAGGAGCACGACTGTGGGATCATATGGTAAGAGTGTGTTTAGTTTTTTAAGAAACTGCCAAATTGTCTTTCAAAGTGGCTGTTCACATTGTCCCGTGTCCTCGTCAGCATTTGGTGTTGTCAGTGTTCCGGATTTTGGCCATTCTAACAGGTATGTGGTGGCATCTCATTGCTGTTTTAATTTACAATTTCCTGATGACATATGATGTGGAGGTTTGTGGATTGATTTAACTGCCAGATGAGGATAACATCAAGTTAATCATTAAGTTCATTTTCTTTTTAGCAGCTTGTATGGATTATTTGAATCTGAAATCCCAATTTCTGATTCCAGAACTGTCATGATTTAATCATGAGACTTTGGCAAGCGTTTCCCTTTTTGCACTTCAGTTTCCTTCTCATTCAGGATTAATAATATTTGCTTTTCCTCAAAAATCTCATTGTGAGGGCTATCTAATCCTACCAACTCCTATCTCTGGATTTTTATGAGGCGTAAATAGAAAATTCAAGGGAGAATACTGGAGAATGTGTAAAGTGAACTACAAATGTCGATTATGTCTTAGTGTAACAATGATTAGTAGGTGGGTGCTTGAAGCAATGGTGTTTTCCCAGAAATCACAGGAGAGAGAGAGAGAGAGGAAGAGAGAGGCTTTTACAGTTGAAATACCACTTTACTCTTGAGCTGTCCCAAGAATATCGCAAGAAACATAGGTTTTTGCATGTGCCTCAGGCTCTGCTCCAAAGAAAATAACCAACATAAAATCCAGGGGCACAGTTCTCCTTTACTTCAGTGTCAGGGATCAAGTACCTCATTTCTGGATCACATTTGGGAGGCATTGGCTTCCTCCCATCTCAGAAACCTTGGCAGAGGGCAGCTCGGCTGCTGAAAAAAACCTTGGAGCCTGGGTGCTGGCCGTGCTGGGAACAGAGAAAGGGAAGTGGGCTTGTAGGATTGACCTTCAGTTACCTGAAGCCCTAGGAGGACTCAGGATACCCAAGAACATAGGGAATACATGGAGGTTGGGGATTCTGCCCCTCTAGCCTGGTGGCTTCAGAGCTTGTCAGAAGAGCTCCACCCGTGTTCCCAGAAGAAGGTAAATGGCTAACCACCATTGTTTAAAAGATTCCCGTTAGTTTTGAAAGAGCCATAACAATGAATTTTGCAAGGGCAGGTCATGTAAGGTGGTAACTGAGTGAACTCAGAGCAATTATTCATTGCCTGCTCCAGTCTTCACTTCAGTGCCAGCTTCCGTGTCTGGTTCTGTGTTCTCTGTTTTTAAGGGACTGCATTTAAGGAATTTGTTGGGGAACTTCTAAGCTACACTCAGAATTCTTTATTACCACATCCCAAAAGAGCTTACTAGTGTTGTATCTTGCCGCACGCCTGAGCTAGTCGCCCCAGGGGATTATTCCAGGTTGTCCGAATGTACCATTGCCCTGTGCCCACCTGGTAACTCCTGCTCTTGCGTTAAGACTTGGCCCAAGCGGTGCCTCCTTTCTCTGACTTTTTCATCCACCCTCAAGTAGATTGACCTCAGCTGTATTCCCATTACATGCTTAGAACATTGAGTTGTCCTAGATGGCAGACCTTTTCTTTTAACTTTATTTTCTCATTTCATTCTTGCACCAAAAAATTTAATTTGTTTAATAAATGTTTATTTTATGTTTATTATGTGCCAATCACTGCAAATATTAGATGTTTAAATTCTCCTGTCAACCCTATGAGAACAGTACTATTGTTACTAAATCTAATTTTACACAAGAGGAAACTGAGTCATGGAGAGGTTAACTAATGTAATAACCCAGCTAGCACACGGCAGAACTGGCATTTGAACCCAAACTTTAGAGTCTTGGCAAATGAGCAGTACCTAACAATCCAAATTTTACTGGAGGTAATTGGATGTCTCTCAGGTAGTAGAATTAGGATTAGGGAAAAGTTCATGTATGTACAAGGAAGTACCGGAAAGAAAAGCAAAATATAAGTGTGAGATATTATCTTCCTTTATAAGCTAAACCTGTTTCTCAACATCGTTCTGAATTCCTTCAACAAATAGGTGACAAAGAGCAGTTTTATAGGCCATCTTCTTCCCTGGGGAGGGATTTAGTGGCCCTCAGTGAAGACCCCGTTTTCTCCTGAGGTCTCTGAACAGGATCCTTAATGACTGACATTCGGTTTATCCTAAATACAGTGGTTAATGTATAGGCTTTGGAGCCCAAATGGTTTGGGTAAGCGTCCCAGCTTTGCCTAGCTGTGTGGCCTCGGGTAACTTACTTGGCATTTCCGAGTCTGAGTTTCCTGATTTATAAAATGGGAGCAATCATTGTATATACCGCTGCGTTAATCAGGATGGATGCTGGAGTCAGGAGCTTGTGTTGGAGTCGCAAGCATCTTGCACTTATCATTGACTCAATACAGAAAAGGCTGGTTTTTCATTCAAGCTCATGTTCAGTGTCCACCAGCAGAGGGGATCTGCCCACTGTGGTTACTCAGACACGCAGGCTGATGGAGACTCCAGGCAGACCAAGGTTTCGCCACTTAAGCACTGTTGACATTTGTCAATAGTTCTTGGTTAACCCGTGCATTGTAGGACATTCAGCAACATCTCTAGCCTGTACTGGCTGATGCCAGAGCACCCTTCCACTCTCCATTGTAACAACCGAAACTATCTGTAAACATTGCCAAATGTTCCCTGGGGGACAAAATGAGCCCCAATTGAGAATCACTGATCTAGAAATGCATGTCCGTAATCAGAAAGCCAGAAAAAGAGGAAAGGTTGAACTTGAATGCGAACAATTAAAGACTTCTATATGACAATGTCATACTCACTTGCCCTTACGTTTGATTGACTAACGCTAGTTCTGGGGCCATACCTAATTACTTCAGGGAGGCGGGAGGTACAGTCCTATCACGTCAATCCTATCCCTAGAATGGGAGAGACCTGACATATCTGTGACTATTTAAACCATAGTCCTAATAAACAACCATCTGGGGTTGTTAAGAGGACTAAATGAAATAATGCATAAAAAGTGTTGAAGATGGTGCCAGGCTAATTAGAAGGGTTCTCTCATTGGAGACTATTAACATCAGAATACAAATGCAGGGCTGGCTACCTTGAAGGGAATGACGAGTTATGGATTCAAATAGCTCCACCAATAGCCTTTTTATAGGAATACAGAATTTCCACTTCACCTGTTTGAATTTTCCTTTATCTGAAGGCCAGTAGCGGTTGGTTAGCTTATGGTCCTTTTTTGCAAGGAATGTTCTTATTAACAATATTGTTGGCCAATTAGTTTCCTTTTTTTTTTTTTAATGCCTTGCCTAGTGCATCAACCTCAGATTAAGCTGGTCTGCCCCTTACCCTTATGTTCTCATCACTTGGGCCTTCTTCCCTCAGCATCCATTCCATCTTTTCTACCCCAGAATCTTTGCACTTGCTACTCCTTCTGTCTAGAAAGCTCCCTTTCTACTCATCTAGTTAATTCTTACTAAGTTTTTCACTTTCCAGGGCAGCCTTCCTGACGTCTCATACTAGGTATTCCTTCGCCCACTCCCATTCTGATAAGTGCTCATCACCTTGAGGTCTTTCCTTCATCACACATCACATTTTGTGATGATATGCTTACTGGTGGGATGAGTTGAAGAATGCCTCTCTCCCTTATTGGGTTGCAAATTCGGTCGTCACTTTCTCTCTTTTGCTTACCTTATAACCTCAGGGTCTAGTGCCTGGTATATCACAGGCACTTGATAAATACATGTTGAATGAATGAATGAACAAATGAATGAATGGTCAAGACTAAAATCTGGGTCCACTGACACCTGCTTTGAACTCTTTCCTTCAAACTGTGCCGCAGACAACAAAGTACTGGCCCAGTAGATTCCCCAGGGAAGGAAGGAGAAAGAAACCCCAGCCTAAAATGTCAGATTCCTCCCCTCCTGTCAGGACACTCCTAGCAGAAGGTATGCAACCTTCGCACACAGTGACCGAGTGGCTCACCCTGGCCTGCCACTACGGCGGCCGTGTTTGCAGAGAAAGCGCAGAGCTCCCAGCTCCTGGTTGGGAACCATGGTGAGGAGTCCAAACAGAGCTGGGCAGCCTCAAGCTGGAGCCTAGGAAACAGCCTGGAGGCCTTGGGGCTCTGACCGGCCACCCCTGAGCTGCTAGTGGTAAGTCTGCCTTCTTTCTTAGGATTTGGGGTTAGCTCTCGGTCTCATTCGTCTGGGCCCCCTGCCCCCTGGCAGCCTGGCAGCTGGCCTTTTGAACTTAAATGAGAATCTATTTTCTTTCTTCCTTTGACTGGAGGAAATCCAAATTTCTGCACTCCTGGCTCATTGCCCATTCCCACCCCACATTCTCCACCTCCCTGTGGTTTCTCTCTGGTTAACTGGACCCTGGTCTACAAAGAGTCTGATGAGCTGCTCCCTGAGGCTCCGCCAAGCGTGTATCCATCAGACCTGCTCCAATGCCACTTAGTCGCAGCTCACAGTCTCTCCTGTGCATCCCTTTCCTCTCTTTGAAATACTTTCTGCTGAGGCCATGCATGACGTACCTAAAAGTAATCCAAGTAAATATTTAAGCCAAAACTTTTCATCATTGGCAAAAATGATTTGCTGAAAAGCTGGATTATTAGAAACAAATCTCTTGATACACATGTATACAGGAGGAAAAATACAACAGACAAACAAAGAACAGTGGATCAAGAGGAAAATGAAGCAGGAGCCACCTCTCACACATGGAGGAACACCTTCGGCTCTGTCCTGGGCCTTGTCCTGGAAAGCCCACTAGTCTGAAAAGATGACAAAGCCCTGGTGACATAATTCATTGAGTTTATTCCATTAACTCTGAAGAGCGCTTGAAATCATTAGGAGCAGAATGGCTGCTGTTCCAGTTCCAGCGGCACAGCCCACTGAACCAAGGCTAGAAATGGTGTAGTCAGAGGGGAGCGGGTCTGACTCAAGGGCATGGCACGTGGTCTATATATTTTGTCTTAACTGCGTGGCAAAACCCTCAGGTGGCTAAGTACAGATGAAATCCTCCTTCCCTCGTAGATTAAATTCATTCATGCAGGATTTTATTGACAAAAAAAAAATGGTTACGGTGTTTTATACATTATACAGACATTTAGGGCAATGTCTATTAAAATGCAGGCTAGCTTCTTTTATTATAGCAAGAAGTAATTGTTACCAATCCAGGAAAAGTTATGCATTACATAATTCTAGAACTTGTTCATGGTCTGAAGAACATTGTAAGCTCATTCCTGAGGGAGTTAACTTCCTGAAAGATGGCCTCTCTCTAGAATGGTGAAGTCTGAAGTTTAGCTGTGGTTGCGACTTTAATCTGATTTACTGTTTATATGAGTCATTAGTATGAGGAGCGAGTCTGGTTTCTGTGAAAATCAATTTTCTACAGCCTTGGGTCCTTTCTATTTTCTCCCATTTTTTTTAATTACTAAAGTAATACATGATTATAAAATAGCCAAGAAGAACATATGTATACAGGGTAAGAAGTGAAATTTACTTTTTAATCCCTACCCCCAAGTGAAATCCATTCCCTTCCCTTTCTAGAAATAACCACCATTAACTGATATCCTGCAGATAACTTTTTCTAAAAATGTACAGGAATATACACATAGATTATACATAAAAATAAATGCACATAACAGCATTGGATTATTTTAAACTTGTAAATAGAATCACACTATATATTTTGGTCTGCAGCTAGCTTTTTTTTCTTAGAAATATGTCGTGGAGAGCTTTCTATGCTGGCATATAGATACACCTAACTATTGCAGTATTACATTCTGCAATTACTATAGTGGTTTTTTTTCATTTTTTCCCTATTGCTGGAGTTTAGATTTCTGCACTATTCTAAACATGTGTCAGCTGTACACACACATACTCACCGATGTGTGTGTATGTTGTGTGTGTGTGTGTATTACACACATATGCATGTATACATAAATGCATTTCTGGGGTATTTCTGTAGGATATAGTATTTCTGAATGGTGACTTTCCAAAGAGGGATTAATTGAGATAAACAATATGTGCAATTTAAACTTTGATGCCATCAAAGACGGTATCACCTTGCCCTCAGAAAGTGCTATGTTAGCTCACACTGAGTAATGGTGCCCTTTTCACCACACCTTCATCACCACTGGAGCCATCATTTCATTTTTGCCAGCCTTGTAGATAGAAAATTACATGCCATGGTGGTTTCATTTGCATTTCCCTGGTTGGGAGTGAGGTGGACCTAACCTTATCTTTAGGCGTTTTGCATAATGAACCTTCAGTCTAGGCCAAGTACCTAAGTGAGAACTATACCAAACCCTCAAAACAGAAGAAAATGAGGTAACTTAAGCTCAGAACTGCATACACAATAAAAGGAGCCCCAGGTTGACTTCTTTAATGAGGGAATGCTAATTATGTTAAAAAAATCAAGATAAAAATATGGAAAGAGTTCTATTTAGCTTGGCATATACTGTGTAGAAATCAAATTGGTGGCATCAGGCTGCACAAGCTTCAAGTGCATGTGCAGATGTGTCCTGTGGGATCTTGGGCAAGTTACAGCCTCTGTGTATCTCAACATTCTCATCTGTGCAATGGGAACCGTGATGTTACCCTCCTCATAGAACTTTGTAATGAGATCCTGCACATCTAGCCTTTGGCACAGTGCCTGGGAAATATATGTTGGGCTCTATAAATGTGAGCCAAAATAATATGAATGATGATAGTTATTATTGTTATTCTAAGCTAAAGAGAGACAGTCCCATTTCCCCAGGGGAAGACAGAGTCCATGAGTAGTGACCAAGTGGCATTTGAGCAGGTCAGATGGATTCATGCCTGGGAGAGATGGGGGTGGGAAGCCCATTGACCCTTTGTAGATCAGGATCCAGCTAATCAGAGAGAAATGATGAATTATTTCCCAATGGCAGACTAATTGGCTATCAGAACAGGCAGGGATCTTAGAGGCTATGGACTACAAAAGTCTCATTGTATGGATTAGAAACAGACCTAAAGAGAAATGAACTTACCTAAGATGACACAGCTGCCCAAGCAACAGGGTCGAACCTGGGACCTGCACTTCCGGCTGCAAGCCCATGTTGCCTTCATGTTCACGTTTCTTGTATTATTCTCTACCTTTTTGTTGAACAGAGAAAAATATAATGAGGAATGGGTCTGCAGAAACAGCTCTTTATTTCTTGTTTCTGATTTTCGATGATAACAAAAAATAACCAAATTAAGAATGCTTGCACATTAATAAGGAAACGTTACCTCAAAGGAAAAATGGAAAAAAATGAAGAGCAGGTAATATACAGAAAAGGAAGTACAAATAGCCAATGCACATGTGAAAAGATGCTCAACTTAGCTAGTCATAGGGGAAATAAAACTTAAAACAGCATTCATTTATTCAGTCAAAAAGAAATTTTTATGGGAGAAAATATTTGCAAACCACATATCTGATAAACGGTTAATCCCCTATATGTATAAGGAGCTCATACAATTCAACAACAACAACAAAAAAACCCAAAAAACCCAAAAACCTGATTAAACAAACAAACAAAAAAAGTAGGCAAAGGACCTGAACAGACTTTCCTAAAAAGAAGACATACAAATGCCCATGGGCAGCGGGTATCACAAATCATCAGGAAAATCAAATACAATGGCCATTATCAAAAGGACTAAAGATAACTCCTGTAAACTATTGCACAAACTACTATAAATTTGTACAACCATTATGGAAAGAAGTACAGTTTTTTTCTTTCAATAAATTAAAAATAGAACTACAAAAAAAAAGCAATTTTTTTACATTCAGTATTATTTATATTAATTTCAGGTGTACAGCATAGTGGTTAGACATTTATATGATTTAAGAAGTGATCCCCCTGACTAGTCTAGTACCCACCTGGCACTAGACATAGTTATTACCATATTATTGACTGTATTTCCTATGTTGTACTTTACATCCCCATGACTATTTTGTGACTTCCAATTTGTACTTTTTAACCCCTTCCCCTTTTTTACCCACACCCAACTCCCCTCCCATCTGGCAACCATCAGTTTGTTCCTGTTTCGTTTATTTTGTTGTTTAGATTCCACTTATAAGTGAAATCATATGACAGTTGTCTTTTTTGTCTGACTTATTACACTCAGAATGATACCCTCTAAGTCCATCCATGTTGTTGCAGATGGAAAGATTTCATATTTTTCTTATGGCTGAGTAATATTCCATTGTATATATGTACCATCTCTTTTTTATCCATCCATTGAGGGACACCCAGGTTGCCTTCATATCTTTGCTATTGTAAATAATGCTGCAATGAACACATGGATGCATTCATCCTCTTGAAGTAGCTCTTTGGGTTTCTTCAGATAAATACCCAGAAGTGAGATTACTTGGTCCTCTGTCTCTTGTTATATAGCCTTTGTTTTAAAGTCTATTTTGTTTGACGTAAATATTGCTACCCCATCTTTTGTTTGTTTGGTTTCCATTTCCCTGAAATATCTTTTTTCCAATCCTTTTGGTCTGTCTGTGTCTTTCAAACTGAAGTGAGTCTCTTATAGGCAGCACATGTAAGGGTCTTGTTTTCTTATCCATTTAGCCACCCTAGCTTTTGATTGGAGCACTTAATCCATTTACATTTAAAGTAATTGTTGATAAATATGTCATTATTGCCATTGTATTTTTCATATATTTTTTTTTTCATCTTTTATTCCTTGTAATACTGGTTTGGTGGTGATGAACTCTTTTAGCTTTTCCTTGACTGGAAAGTTCTATATCTGTCATTCAATTCTAAATGATAGCCTTGCTGGGTAGAGTAATCTTAGTTGTATATCCTTGCTTTTCATTTCTTTTAATATTTCCTGCCAATCCCTCTGGCCTGCAAAGGTTCTGTTGAGAAATCAGCTGATAGTCTTATGGGAGCTCCCTTGTATGTAACTAACTGCTTTTCTCTTGCTGTTTTTAGGAGTCTCTCTTTGTCTTTAACCTTTGGCATTTTAATTATGATGTGTCTTAGTGTGGGCCTGTTTGGGTTCATCTTGTTTGGGACACTCTGCACTTCCTGGGCTTTTATATCTTATTTCCTTCACTAGGTTAGGGAAGTTTTTGTCATTTTTTATTCAAATAGGTTCTCAATTTCTTGCTCTCTTCTCCTTTTGGTACCCCT